CCAAGGGCTTCTGCTGCTGCTTAGAGAGGCTCCATCCCATTCCCACTGATGGCAGCTTCCAGTCATTCATCTAGAAAGTTCTCAAAGGGCACGCCCCCTTCCCTACAGGATACCACAGGAGCCCCCACTGGCAGAGCCTTCATTCCCTAACACAGCTGTTGTCCCTGCTGGGCACGTCCCTGGAATGTGGGAAGAAAGTTCTAGCACTTCTGTTTCCTGCTGTGTGTCTCATTTTACTAAATAGTTAGATTCTCCGCAAAGCTTGGAAGTATCTTCTCGAGAGTATCTATTTCAGTCACATAAAGAGGTTAATCTTTGCTCCTGTGCAGAGGGGATTTGCCCCCACCCCACCCCTAGTGAGGCAAGCCCATGCTGCTGGGCCCTGGCAGCCACGCCCTCCCCCTGGGAGCCTTTTCCTGTCTGCTGAGCTCCGCCTCCCCCTGTGTCTAAATAGCCCTGTGGCTGCAGTAGAGGCGGGGCTTCCTTGTCCTCAGCCACCGGCCAGCCTGGATTCACCCTCCCAGTCTGGCCATTGCTGCCTGCCTGGCTGCCCAGTAACCTGAGGACCCTGCTCACCAGCCCCTCTCTCCCCAAACAGAAATAATGTAGCCTTGTCTTTCTTGGTGAGATTTTAGTCAGGATGAGATGGGAGGAGGAGGAGGTGGTGGTTCGATGCCTTCCAGTGAGCTTGGACCCATAGTGACTGGACGACAGAGGGAGCCACCTTCACAGTTGTCACATTGGAGCCACTGTGTGTGTCCGCCTTGTTGAGGGCCTTCTGTTTTGCTCTGCCCCTCCACTCTGTCAGCCATGATGTCTTTCTTCGGGGACTGGTCTCTCCTGGCAACATGTTGGAAGTGGATGAGGCAAAGGCTCAGAGGACCGTTCTGGCTGTACTTCTGTGGAGACGGATTGTTTTCTTTTTTTTGACAGACCATAGGACTTTCAGTATTCCTCACCAGCACTGTGATTTAAGTGCATCACTTCTTCTCCGGCCTTATTCCATGCCCAACTTTCTCACACGCACATGAGGTGATTGAAAATACCCTGGCTTGGGTGGGGCCTCAAAGTAACCTCGCATTTCAATACTCTGAAGAGGTCCGTGCAGCAGAGTTAACCAGGGCAGTGCGTCACTGATCGCTTGGTGGCTGTTTCCATGAGCATTGATTGTAGATCCAAGCAAAACAGAATCCTTGACAACGTCCATCTCTTTTCTTTCGATCATGATGTTATCTGCAAGTTCCGTTGTGCGGAGTCTGGGTTTGGTTTGGATGAGATGGGCGGTCTGAAAAGAGCTCGGCTCTCTCAGGCCCTGGGTGAAGGGCCATTTTCTGGAGCAGAAAGTGGGCTGAGTCAGAGAGTAGCCTGGTGTCTTTTGACTCTGTACCACTCACAGGCAGCCTCGGTTTCCCCACCTGGGAGTCTGCATAGTATCCACTCCTTGGCATTGTGGGGAATATCTTATTTAGTGGCTGCAATGTGTTCGGAGCAGTGGCTAGCATACTGCAAGCTCTCTATACAGCTTAGCTGTTGCCCTCACCGCTAACATATAGGCAGTTGATGAAACTTCCAAGGCTTCCAGAAGGGTCTTGGGGATCCTTCTAGTAATCTGTACAGCACTAGGCCTCAGTCTCCCCATCTGTATGGCAGAAGGGCCATGGTTCTTCCCTGCAGCTCCTGTTCAGGGCAGCCTGCTCTGGGCTTGACCCCATGGGAGTTAGAGAGCTCCAGGCAACCAGGCCAAGCCCACGGCCGCAGGGTGGGTCAGTGCGGACTCTCAGCGACCCTAAAGGGCCACCTCCCTTTCCTCCTTCCCAACCTCTGGCAGGTTTGAACTGTCAGCCTGGTGGTTATCAGCCCCCGTTGCCTAACTCACAGCGCCACCAGAGGCCTTCCACCTGCCCCAGGGGTCATTATTTCACTTTGGTCATACTGGTAATCATAGCAGTGACAGCCTGGGCAGCCAGCACCTGCTGTGCCTTCAGCCAGTGACAGTACCTCGGGTGGCAAGGGAGCTCCAGGGTGACACAGCCACCGTGGAGAACAAGGCAGGGTTCCTGTCTTGCCCGTGGGGAGGCCTGGGCCACCTCTACCCATTATCAACTCGGAAAGTGAGCTTCCAGGCCCGTTCTGTCCCGTCTGTTGGGCTTGTCTCAACTGTCGTCCCGGCCCTGTGCTAGAACCTTCTCTGCTGCAGCCTCAGAGAAGATCCAGAGGGAGTCAGCAGACCACCGTGGAGGTGGTGATGGCCACAGTGATGGCCCACGGTGACATCTCCTGAAAACTTGTTGTATTGGACGCGTTTTGTCTTGCTAGCTTCCCCAGCCCTCGTATTGAATTTTCTCCAGTCACAGTCGGTCAGCAACAAAGGGAAGTACCTACCATGAGAAGGATGGACCCGGTGGCCGCCACAGTGGGCATAAGTGATGATGAGGATGACACAGGGTTTCTTTCTGGTCACTATGGGTTGGAACCAGCTCCACAGCACGTAGCAACAAGAACCGCCCCCACGACACTCGGGTGAGGTCTCATTTCCCAGAGGAGGGAACCGAGGCAGGAACAGGTTTTGGTGTCGTCCAAATCACATTCCCAGGGGCCCGCCGGTTATTGAGCCCCCGCTCTGGGCTGCTGGTGGAGGTGAGCAAGTGAAACCCACAGACCGGCCAGGGTGCTAGGCCAGCCCCCAGAGAGAACATGTTCCCCGGGACAGAAGAGTGATGGTGGCAGCTCAAGGGGGACATGCTCTGTGTGTCCATCCTGCCTCCGGCCTTTGGCCGTGACTAGCTGTCTTGGTCTCTCCTCCCGCAGCTCTGCAAGGTGCATGCTGTTGTCTGAGTTTTGGGGATGAGGAGACAGGTTCTGAGAGGGACACCTTGCAGTTGGTCATGGGATAAGACCCCAGTTCTGGGGCCCCACGGCCACCCCCAGCACAGGGGATAGTCATCTGATGAGACCTCAGATAGCCAACTGAGACCTGCACGACCTTGGGGAGGGGTCCAGGCTGAAGGAGCAGCATGTGCAAGGCAGAGAGGCCAGAAAGCTCTGGTGCCTTTGGGGACAAGGGCCACAGCACCTGCCTGGGACCCGGCATTGGGGGAGGAGGGCAGGACCCGTGCTGACTGGGAGCTTGAAGAGGAGGACCCTTAGTCCCAACTGGACCCTCACACTCCCAGATGGGGTGCTGCCACCAGGCAGAACCTTTCAGAGCACCCCTGTCAGCCTCGGTGCCTGTGTTGGACAGACAACTATGGGATGTGGCGTCCAGGTCAGCCTGTCGGGCTGGACAGGGGCGGACTGGTCTGAGCAGACTTACTGGAGGCTGGGCAGGGTGTGAGCGTAAGGAGAGAGGAAGGTGAGGGGCCGAGAGTCTGAGGAGCTGGGGGACGGGTGTGGGCAGGAGGCAGGTGGGATCTGAGCTGGGCCCATGAAGGCAGTGCTGGGCTGGAGACAGGAGGGCCTTGGTTGGTAGGGACCCCGGGACAAGATGGCTGTGGTTGTCAATTGCCACCAGTTGGCCCTGGCTCACAGCAACTGTGTGTGCACAAAGCCAGCTGCCTCCTGGGTTTCAAGATGGGGACCTTTGGGGAGGAGCTCACCAGTCCTTTCTCCTCAGGCACCCCTCGGCTGGCCCATCTGCTGATCTTTCAGCTCACAAACCAGCAAGCTGGCCAGAACCCACTGCCATAGGGTGTCAGAGATTGTTGGTATGTGTGGGGGCACCCAGCTTCCTCTTTCTCGCGTGGAGCAGCTAGTGGGCTTGAACCGCCAGCCCTGTAGTCAGTAGCCGGTGCTTAACCCGGTCTCGCCAGCAGGGCTTCTTCACGCAGATGAGAGGAACAGCTAGAGGTGAAGAGTGTCAGGACCCGGCAGCAGAGCAGGAGGGGACACCCTCACTGAAGGGGACCCAGCGGGGGCCCAGAGTTCAGGGCAGGACACACATGCCTTTGAGACAGGACGTCCAGTTGCAGGTGGCTTGGAGGGGTGGGGTTGTGGGCAGGGCACAGACTAGTGAGGGCAGCTCCAGGGAGCAGGAGCCCGAGGCCCCAGGAAGGACCCCCGGCCAGCATCTCCTGCTTCACCCAGCAAGTGCCTACTGTACCCCTGCCGTGTGCCCGGCCTGGTCCCAGGCTCCAGAGACACAACAGAGAGCAAATTGCTGTCCATGGACAAGGGACAGTGGCCTGGAGGCGATGCACAGCCCTCACAGCAGGTGACAGGTGCCCATCGAGGGCAGGTGGCAGTTTTCAGGAGGCGACCCTTGAGCCAGACCTTATGATTTGGGGCAGGAGGAAGAAAGCAATGGGTAATGAGGTGGTCACAGGTGGTGGCAGGCCATTGGTCTTCTTGGTGGACTATCAGGCCTTTCTTCTGTGGGGCCTGGAGGTAGACTTGACCTTCCAACCCTCCCGGCAAGGGGGTACGCTTGTGTGGACACTTGGGGAAAGCGCGTCCCTGGTCGAGTGCAAGAAAAGGCAAGGCAAAGGCGAAGCAGCCAGTGAGGCTGGAGTGGAGAGCCATGGGACCCTGTTTTTGCCCTGGGTGAGGGAGGAGGCCCGGAGCACTGTCAGCAGAGGAGGGACGCACCCTGGCTCCAGGCAGGGTGCAGTAGGTGCAGCCCTTCCCAGGCCCCGGTGACAGGCCACTGACCCTTGCGCCGTAGGCCCGCCTGGAGCGCATGGAGCAGTTCCAGAAGGAGAAGGAGGAGCTGGAACGGGGCTGCCGCGAGAGCAAGCGCAAGGTGGCCGCGTGCCAGCGGAAGCTGAAGGAGCTGGAGGGGGCCAGGGGCGGGGCCGGCCCCGGGGAGCTGGAGCGGCTGCAGTCGGAGGCGCAGCAGCTGCGCAAGGAGGAGCGGAGCTGGGAGCAGAAGCTGGAGGAGATGCGCAAGAAAGAGAAGAACATGCCCTGGAACGTGGACACGCTCAGCAAGGACGGCTTCAGCAAGGTGCGCGTGCCGTGGGGGCCGGAGGCAGGCAGGGCTGGGGGCCTGCGCGGAGGAAGCACCCCACTGGTCCCCCCTTTGATCTGCCCGAAGGCCCTTGCCCGAGGCCACACCTGCCACGGCCACGCTCCCGCCTCCTTGATGCTCATGGCACCGCCACCGCCTCGGGAACTGATGGGCTGGGCGCGGCGGCCGCGACCTGACTGGCTCAGCTCAGGGCTGGGCGCGGCGGCCAGGCCCCAGCCCACTCGCCCTCTCGCCCCACCACAGAGCATGGTCAACACGAAGCCCGAGCCAGCGGCCGAGGACTCCGAGGAAGCGCGGGAGCAGAAACACAAAACCTTTGTGGAGAAATACGAGCAGCAGATTAAGCACTTTGGTAAGTTATGGGTGCATGCATGCCCGTGCGGATGGCAATGCCCCAGGTAGTGGAGGCGGCCTTCCCTCAGGGGCCCCGCCAGCACCCTGTGGACACCTCCCCGCAGGTATGCTCCGCCGCTGGGATGACAGCCAGAAGTACCTGTCGGACAATGTCCACCTGGTGTGCGAGGAAACGGCCAACTACCTGGTCATCTGGTGCATCGACCTGGAGGTGGAGGAGGTGAGTGTTGCAGCCGGGACTGGGGACTGGGGACTGCCGCCAGAGCTGGCGGCCCTCAGGTGAGCACGGCTGTCTTTCCTCTTACAGAAATGCGCCCTCATGGAGCAGGTGGCCCATCAGACCATCGTGATGCAGTTCATCCTGGAACTGGCCAAGAGCCTCAAGGTGGACCCCCGTGCCTGCTTCCGGCAGTTCTTCACCAAGATCAAGGTGGGGCCCTGCCTGTGCCCCCACAGGCGGGGACCGGGGCTTCAGGCAGCACACAGGGCCAGGTAGTCAGGAGGCCACCAGCCCCCTGGAGAGGCCATCAGACTAGGGGTGATCGGGCGCTTGAGGGGGGACAGCTGGAGGCCCCTGACGGACGGCCGCCCCCACAGACAGCCGATCGGCAGTACATGGAGGGCTTCAACGATGAGCTGTCGGCATTCAAGGAGCGCGTGCGTGGCCGAGCCAAGCTGCGCATCGAGAAGGCTGTGAAGGAGTACGAGGAGGAGGAGCGCAAGAAGAGGCTGGGCCCCGGCGGCCTGGACCCCGTGGAGGTCTACGAGTCTCTCCCCGAGGTGCGCTTCTGGGGCTGGCTGGGCTGGCTGGCCGGGGGCCGTCACCACAGACCTTGACCCGGCCCCTATGCATCCCCAGGAGCTGCAGAAATGCTTTGACGTGAAGGACGTGCAGATGCTGCAGGATGCCATCAGCAAGATGGACCCCACTGTGAGTCACCGCACCCCCCAGCGCAAGTGCACACACACGCACCCCCAGGCTCACCTGTGCCACCTCTCTCCTGTGATTGCCCCTGTCACCACTGCCATTTGTGAGCTCAGCCTTCAAGGCCAAGACCACAGTGACTCGGGGTGGGGTGGGGGGTGCTCCTTCCCAGCCAGGTGGGACTCAGAGGGAGGGCCAAGCACACAGTAGGGAGCTGTGAGTGATAGTCTGCAGAGCCAGCAGTGTCCCTGGATGGCACGGGTTGAGGCTCTCAGCTACTAACCAGGAGTTTGACTCCTGGGCCCAGGGCTCTCTTTCAAAGAAAGCCGGGCAGTGTGCTGCTGGAACAATCACAGCCGAGTGCACGGTGGGCTGCACACTCGGGCCCTGTCGCCCAGGGTCACTCCCTGGGAGCCGGTGTCGCTTGACGACAACTGTGGGTTGTTGTTGCTGTTGTCCTCAAGCCAGCTGGTGGAGGAGGCCCCAGAGACTAGTTTGACCCCCGTTTAGCTACTTGGCTCTCTGGTTCCCCGTCTGTAAGACAAATCTGGTTGTAGGATTTCTAGAAGCTTCCAAGGGGATCTGAGTCTGAACCCCAGGGCGTGGCAATTTGCCACGCACAGGCCCGCTGCCCGTTTCTTATACATGAAAGGTTTATCAGCACGCAGATCTGCTTGTGTGTGTCATCTCCGGCTGGTTTTCCCCTGCTCGGTCTGGCTCAGTCGAGGAGTTAAACATTACAGACACTCCCGAAGTGTGTGTGGGGGGGTGGTCAGCTTCCGTTTTCCCTCTTGTCTGGCTCACAAAGCCTAAAATATTCCCCACCCGGCCATTAAAAGAAAACGCTTACTGACCTCTGTTTCCGAAACTCCCCAAACTCACTGTCATCCAGTCCAGTGTGACTTATGCAACAGGGTAGAACTGCCTCTGGTAGAAAACCAAGTCTTTTTCCCAGGGAGCAGCTGGTGGGTTTGAACTACAGACCTTTTGGTTAACAGCCCAATGCAGAACCACTATACCAACTGGGCTCCTTTCAGCCTCAGGCCTACATGTACCCAATTCAAAATCAAATCAAACTTCGTCAAGGGGACAATGGTGTTCCTTGGCCACACTTGCCACATTCCAAGTGCCCCTGAGCCACATTCCAAGTGCCCCTTAGCCGCTGTGTCGGGCAGCTCAGCACGGACCTTCCCACCCTCACAGAAGAGCTTTGAGGCAGTTGCTCCTAGGGGGAGAGATTAGGCTACGGGCCCCCCCCCCAAAACCTCAGGGGTCCCAGTGAGTCGGGAGCGACTCAGTGGCCGTGGCTTGGGGTTGGGGGGCTGAGAGGTCAAGGAGAGGAGCATCTCGGAAGAGGGCTTGAGGCGTGTGTAAGTGAGCTGTCCGCCCCTCGGCGCTCGGGGGGCCAGCGGGCAGCACCTGCTCATCAGCCCTCCTCCCCACAGGATGCAAAGTACCACATGCAGCGCTGCATCGACTCTGGCCTCTGGGTTCCCAATTCCAAGTCCAGCGAGGCCAAGGAGCAGGAGGAGGCAGGGGCCACGGAGCCCTTGCTGGAAACTGACCCCAAGCCGGATGACGAGAAGGGCGCCAGGGAGCAGCAGGATGGTGGGGACGAGGACGCCAGCGCGTGACCTAGCCCAGTCGCCACCAACTCTCTGCTTGCAGGCCCCCGCGCTCCCTTTATCAGCAGAAATAGACACCATCTTGCTAGCTCTCGGCTCCCCCACCTTTCACTGCTCCCCCAGCCTCAAGCTGAGTGGGGAGGGTGGGGGGGCCAATCCTCCTTCCATCCTGCACTACCCACCCCAACCCCCAGCATTCATCCAAGTCTGCTTTGAGTTGAGGGGCTTCACTGCCTGCAGCTCCCCTCTCTTACCCCTGTCCCCCCCATCAGCATTATGCCAAAGGCCCTGGGGTACAGGGAGGGGCTCAGGTCGCAGGCCTGTGGGGAGTGTCCCTAGTGGGGGGGCTCTGCTTCAGTCATCAGGAGCGCCTCTTCACTGTGGGCCCACTGTTGAGATCTCCCAATAAAGGATTTCAGATGCTGTGGGGGCTGTCGGGCAGCTTTGTGGGGGTGGCCTCTGGAGCTGGCAGGTGGGGAGCAGGGTGTGATATGGAGGAGATGTTGACTGCCCTACTCCTCTGTCATGGGCACCACCATCCCTCCAGGAGCAGCCACCTCCACCTGGGGGGCTCACGGGAACACACTGCTTCCCAAAACACCTTGAACATGACACCATGTCACCAGACTCAGCAGCCAGAGGGTGCCGGTCCCTGACCCGCAGGGCTGCCCACATTCCAGTCCACTTGTCCCACGAGGACTTGGCGTGCTGTCAGTGCGGCCCTGAGCCGGTGACTTCATCACCAGAGCCTCCAAGGACTGCCGTGATGAGGGCCACGCTTGCCGTGTTCCCAAGCAGGACCTGGGTGCCTGCCCGGGACTCCAGGGGAAGAAGCAGTGAAGTCTTTCAGCCTCCAGGCTAAAGATAAAGGGGTGCGTGTGTGTCGCTGATGTCCTCGGTCTCCTACAAGCACAGCCCCTCTGCAGATCACCTCTATAGAACAGCAATCCCTGACTCACCTGAGTTCTCATCCGCAGTACCCTGCGGATCACAGGCCCTCTGATGTAAGCGTGCCACCAGGGCACAAACCAGGCCCGCACGACATCATGCTTGGTAATGCGGAGGGGTGGCGAGAAAGAGGGAGCGTCTTGACACAACGGGGTCAAACCAACGGTTGTGAGGACGGCGCAGGGTGGGGTGGGCTTCCCTTCTATTGCACAACAACGGAACCTAAGGGCAGCCACAGCCGTGCCTGCTGCTCCTGGCACACAGCCTCACAGTAAAGGTGTTTCAAAGGATTAAATAGCCACACTGGCCTCTGTCTAGTCCTGGTGCTCTCGTTACAAAGCGGACCCTTCCACAGGGTACTCAGGGATGAAGCACCCCGTCTTCTAAGGTGCTTTTCGCTGGGCTTGAACCGCCAACCTTTGGTTTAGGAAATGGTAGTGTGCTGAGCCCTGGTAGTGTAGGGGTTTTACACTACTGGTAGAAACCACCAAGACCACTCCCCTACAGAGTTACGGTCTTGGAAACCACCCGCAGGGGCAGGTCTACCGCGAGTCAGCATCGCTTGGATCCTTGGTGCTTGCACCCTTCAAAGGGTTGACTACGGGTCCTGGGACACTCGCGTTGTTCACCACCAGATGGCGGTGGTGAGCCGCGCCAAAGAAAGCCCGCTGCCATGGTATCAAGACCGTCTCCCAGCCACGCCTTCCGTTTCAGAGCACTGGTGCTCCCCAGCAAACTCCTTAACTAAGGAGTCTTTGCAGGACTGCCCCTCTGGGGTTCCAAGCCTGCTTTCTCTCCATCGGAGTGTCTGGTGGGGTGGAATGGCCGACCTTGGGCGAGCAGCCCAGTGCTTAACCCACTGTGCCCCCAGGACATCTAGAGCCAGCCGTGCTAGGGTTTTTTAAACTGGCGCAAGGCCAGCAGCCAGAGGGAGTGGGAATGTTCAGAGACCCCCGGACACACCAACTGCCCACTATCACCAACTTCTTCCCAACCCAGTCGCTGCCACGGAGTCAATTCTGACTCGTGGGGAGTCTGTAGGACCGGGTAGAACCTCCCCTGTGAGTTTCCAAGGGGAACACTTGACAAGCGTGGACCCCGCCTCATCTTTCTCCCAAGGAGGAGCAGCTGGACGTTTCAAACTGCTGGCCTTGCGTTTAGCAACCTAACCCCTAGGCCACCAGGGATCCCTAGGTGGCCACCAGTTCCCAAAATGGGCAATACCGCACCCTGGGGGACGCTGCAGCCACCCAGCAGTCTGCAAAACACACCTACACTTTACCCTGGATCATGGGCTATAGTGTAAAGCTTGATTGCCAGGGGGCAGTGTTGAATCATTCTTTTCTCTGAAAAGTGGGTGATAGGCCAAATAAGTTTGGCAACTATGAGGGGGTACCCTCAAAAAGGAAAACAACTGTGCTGGGAGAAGCTTTCTTAGTACACTAGGTGAGCATCCAGCAACTCACTGAGTGCACCCAGTGGCATCACCTGGGAAGGTTCTCTCTGGTCACAGTGAATTTTTTCATGAAAATTTTTTCATGAAAAGAGTTTCACTCAAACCTCATTTTTTGTGATGGCAGAATTAAGAACAGCGTGCAGCTGTGAAATTTTGTTTCCAGCTCAGGAAAAATGCCGCCGAAACTGTTGTGGTGTTGAACATAGATTTACAAGAACAGCGCTATGGGAAAAACTCAAGTTTATGAGTGGGTTTCTCATTTCAAAAGAGGTGAAATGTTGATTGATGACAAACCTCGTTTCTAGATGTCCAGTCAACTTCCTGAATGAACAAAAATGTCACCTGGTCATGCATTTGGAGTTTGTTCTACCAGGTCAGGCTGTTAATCAAGTTTTCTATTTAGAGGCTCTGAAAAGATTGCATAGCAGTGTGTGACAAAAAAGGCCTGATATGTAGCAGACGGGACTGGTTTTGCCACCACAACAATGCACTTGCTCACGCAGCCATCTCAGTGCACCGGTTTTTGTCAAAAAACAGCATGCCTCTCTTGCCTCACGCACCTTACCCACCTGACTTCTTTTTGTTTCCGAAAATGGAGAGGGACATGAAAGGACAGCAATTTAAAGACGTAGAAGAGGTGAAGAAAAAAAACAGATGAGGGAGATGCTGTCAGCCATCCAAACAGATGAGTTTTAAAAAATGTTGCCAAGAATGGAATCGCGGATTTGAGAAATGTATTTAGTGTAATGTCTTTGAAGGTGATCAGGTTATTTTGTAAAAAAAAAAAAAAAAGTTAAATACATAGCTTTAAGAAAAATTCCATTTTTGGGGGGTACCCCCTAGTATATGAGCCATTTCTTGATACAAATCTCTGTCTACACACACACACACACACACACACCAATGTAAGCATCACTGCTTTTATGTCTCTAGAGAACCCAGCCTAATACAGATGGGAATTCTAGGTGTAATTGTTTGGAGAACTGCCAAACTTTTACCCAAGAGGGCACAGGTCTGGGGAATGTTTACATTTATCTGGACACCTTTTGGGATGCCTGCAGCATTCCCTAGTAAAGCCAGTCCAGAAACCAGGCCTCTGTAGTGGAAAGGAGTAATTGCTGAGAAATACCATCAAATGAAAGCAACGAGAGCCTTCACTCTGGCCCAGGCTCCTGACGAGGCCCCCTGCGGCGTGAATTAGCTACAACCAAGTGTTCCCACCATACCTCTGAGACCAGCACGTTCCACGGTCCAGAGGAGGAAGGCCCGGCCAGATGAACTTGCAGGACTTCTGAGGATCACACAGTGGCCTGAGCTGGGACTTGAACCCAGGCCACCTGGGACCAGCCTACTCCCCTCTGTTTCCATTACAGACCATGAGAATGTTCCATCTGCAACTCTTGAGGTGAGGCTTCTAAACCGTAGGTGCACACCCACGCTGAGGGGAGAAGCTTCCCTGGGAGAAATGCCCTAGGCACCCAGCTCAGGGCTGTTTGGGGGATGAGGGGAGGGGGTGGGGGGACTGACCGATCCCTGAACTTGCCCATTCAAAAATAAAACAAGAGGCTCTTGCTTTGAACGCACTAAGTCTTGACCTTTCCAATAGCCCAGTGGGTGGAAAAGGCTTGAGGAAGCCTCACCCTCTTCTACTTTGCAAGTCTTCCTGAGTCCAGGGAACACCCCCCTCCCCCCAACTACCCCCCCCCACACACACACACCAATTCCAGCTTCCTCTGGAAAACCCACTGAGGCAGAGGAGCACCTGGCTTGCCCAGAATGGTTGGTCTTAGCACCCAGTCTCATGTCATCAGATCTCCCGTGCTCCCGGGCAAGCCAGGACAGTGCTCACTCTGCACTGGGCCCAGAGCCTCCTGGCTGGGCCACCAAGGAGTCTGGGAAGCAGACCCTGGCCCTGGGAACCACACTGGAGCCTTCTCAGAGACAGCCTCTCCTTGGTCTTTGCGGCTTCCTCGTCTTCCTCGTCACAAGGGGTGCTAGCCCTCTTCAGAAGGATCCAGAAGGTTGTAGGCGTGCTCTGCACCCAGCGTTTGGCCCAGATGCAGACTGGGGAAATGAGAGCTATTGTTATCCTTTATTATTATAACTGAGATGATTACCACTATTGTCCCTAATCACCCCAGCTGATATTTCCTGTGGCTTCCTGGGATGGCAGCCACCAGGCCTCTCTGGGTTGGCCTGCACTCCCAACGGAAGTTCCCCACCTCTTTCCCAGTCTGGCTATTGAGTAATCTGGCACCCTTGACTTCCTCCTTCTGTACCCTGGCATTAAGAGGAAGCTTTGGCCAGAAGGCTCTGGCCAGCACTTCTGCAGCAAGCAGTGGGACAGCCTGGGACCCCACTTCTCACAGCCTGACCCATAGAACTCCCCAGTCATTTCCCTCCTCCTGGAGGAGCCCTGGTGGGGTTGGAGGGTAGATGGTGGGCTAATAACCAAAAGGTCAGCTGTTCAAACCCACCAGCTGCTCCTTAGGAGAAAAGACGAGGCTCTCCGTTCCTGTAAAGATTGACATCCTCCAAAATCCAATGGGGCAGTGTTATTCTGTCATATAGAGTTGTTAGGGAGCTAGAGGCAGAAACCAGGGGTTGTCCCTCTACAGGCCAAGTCCTCCCTCCCCCCTTACAGGAAGTTGGAAGCCAGTCAAGGCTAGAGGGCACACAAATTCGAGCCTTTGAGACAGGAGGCCAGCCCACTTGGGAGGACCCCAGTCTAGGCCAAGTGAGCTTAATTCAACCAATGGGGTCAACCAGTACCTCGACTACACCTCCCAGAGGAGGGCCCTGAAAAGTCAGACCCAGGAGCCCACTGCCCTCCTTTCCAGCCGCTCCTCAGCTGGCCTGTTGTGGTTTCTCCCCGTGTGGGTGTGAAGAGCCCTGAGGGTGCCTGTGTCGAACCTGAAACTACTTCTGTCCTTGCTAAGAACTCACTTGGATCACAAACCAGACTTCGGCATGAATTGCTCCTTGTGGGAAGCCAAGAACCGAGGTATTTTGCACCCTGCA